TTTCGAAATTTTACGCAAAAAAAGTCGATCAACTGATATTTCAAGAGCCTCAAACAAAGAATACTACTACTACTACTACTACTATATCTACTCTTACTATTCTCATGTTACACACCTCCATAACATACTGCGCATCTTAAGGTCGTAACATCAAAGGTAATTTTCTCATTCCTTTTAACTCTTTCAATAGAATGGGATCAGTGAATTAATATCACAATCTAGTTTCAGCGCGTCGTGACACAGTCATTTGCTCACCTCGGTGATTGTGAAGTAATGATTGTGCACAATCATTTGTAGAATAGNAACGTTGATCACTTCACCGGAATCCCATATCTGAAACAAACAAACAACAATCAATCTTATACAATGAAAAATAATCATCAAGAATACACTATACATTCCTATATTCAAGTGGACTGCTAAAAATGTGAGAATGCTGAAAAAATGATCTGCATCACATTGTGCTTAAATTATTGTTCAAAACCTCATAAAACAATTTTTTTAAGACCACTACTAAAGTATTCTGTGAAAAGTAATATAAAGATTGGATTCTTAAAAAATTTATCGCACTGTCGAAAGATCTCACTCAACAACAGAATCGCTCATCAGTCCTCTTCCATAAATCTGCGTCATGTCACGGATTGCAATTAGAAAACTGACTGCAAAAAAACCAACTAACTTGAGACAGTTGATTATAGGCTATATGACGACGTTCATGATCTGGCTCATCCACTTTTCGTTCATCCCATGAATTCAAATCTAGCACATAACAGAGCAACTGAGCGACTCGACCTGAAATCGGAATGAAAAAGAAATCAAACGAGAACGCACCGATCCCAACTATCATTAGCAGAACGGTATTCTTCAGCATTGCAAATTCTGATACCACATCAGTCGTCATCAATTAAAAACTATACGGTCACACCAACAGTGAGCTTAATATGCTCGTATTTCCACGATTAAAACCATTTGTTAACAAAATGAATTATGAAGGGAAAAGAATAAAAAAAGTCAAAATGAGCCAATCGCAGTGGTTCACCTCCGGCTTGCTGGCAACTCGCTAATGCACTGACGATTTCACATAAGGCATCACGACTACTTCGAGATTTGATTGTGGAATGTTGCTGAATCAAGAAGCTGAAAGTGAATTTAACATTTTGTATGTTAACTGATGCGTAGTATGAATCAAGACAATCTCCAACTATTCTCTAAATGTGATATTTGGCTCACGAAATAATTGGATAATGAAGACTGGAGCAGCAAAAAGAAATCATCTGTGAAGATTTTGTCACAATTTCAACAACTCATCGATAATGAGTTATTGGTACATCACTCGGTTTCGAACAAACCTTTCCTCCGCAAACGGGAATCGAACCAG